CAACTGTACTGAAAAGCCAAAAGGAGAAGTCGTGCTAGCTAGATAAGTATCTGATTTAAATATAACTTGTGACATATGCCATTCATAATCATTTCTAAACGCAATTTTAAAAGGGATCACGTTGGAAAACCTTTTCAAAGGCGACCTCTATGTACAAGTTTAGATTAGCAAACAAATGGCTCTTCTTTCCACGCTCAGCACCTTTCAAACAGCCGCACCGATTTGATCACGTCGAAACTGAAAGAAAAAAAGTTGTTCATGTTTAGGCTTAAACTCATTTGCCGTTCTCCAAATGCTCCTAAAATGGCCCCAAACTGTCTAAGTCAACATAGCTGGCTAAATTAGCAGCTGACAAAGCAACACAGCATTAAAACTTTTAAGCGAAACAAAGGATTGCTTTGTCAAACAATGACGACTAGACACATTTGCTTGGATCCTGTCACGCACTAGAGTCAACTTTCTCTTTAAAACTTATGGGTTGTGTGTTTTTCTTTTATGTTTCAACAAGAAACAACTTGAAATTTCAAGAAGCGCTGCCATCGAAAGTTGTCAAGAAGAAACTTGCTAAAGAAAACTAGAACAGTCAAATCAATAAGCGTAGCCGAGTTCGCAACCGTTTGCTGACTTTAATTTGCGGTGACTTTAAATGGCTGAATTACTTTCGCGTGTACCGGGAATATTGTTTCAAGTTTACCCAATTAGAAGCTGTGAACAGGAAATTCTCGCAAAACAGCAAATACAGTTTACAGAAGAGAGGCGTTAAGACCACGAGGTCTATTGTTGGGCTCCTTTTGTCCGAAAACCCAAAAACAAAAGGGGCCAGCAAACTTTGACTGCACGCTCCTTTCACGTTTTAGATTACTCTTTAATTTTGTTATGAAAACAAAATGCACGCGTCTTGTCTTGAACAAACAACTCATTCAGCTAGCACAAAGGCAAATTACACTTTCAAAAGGGCTTATTTTGCTTTGATTAGGCTTTATATTCTGCTGTAATCTCGACTTCTGTTGGTGATTCTAATTGTTCCCATGCCGAGGACCGCGCGTGTTCGGGACACGCTTGGTGAATGTTCTTTTTAATAATACAGTCGGTTATAGGTACTTTTGTAAATGGGAAATATACAGCTGATGTCAACAAAGATTAATTCGTTTTCCTTTCATGAAGCGCCTTGTCTCTTAAGATAAACTTTTCCATTTACTTTTCTCGTGGTAATGGTTTCCTACGAACGTATTACATTTCTAACTAGATGCATTGTTTTCCTTGTTGTGTAGATCCTAAGTAGCCAAGTGTGAGGGAAAAACACGCAGCTTTTTTTTTCGAGCATTGAAAACAAACAATTATGATTTGGACAATCACTATGACCAAAAATGGCTCTCCGAAAAGAAAGCCAATGAACTGCTTGACACTGCGATTTCAAGTTTGCACAACGCAAGTTTATTAATCGAAGATTTCCACTCTGCAAACACAATATAAGCCTGTATACATGGATCAATGCGAACATTAAAAGGGACATCTGAGTACACACAGCGACTCGCCGCATTTCCATTTTGTTCAAAACAGTACAATCTCTATTATTTCTCAAGAGGGTGATGTTGAAACTCAGACTGTTAACGCCCGAGGCAAACTGTTTTTCAGACGTAAATAGCTGGCAAAGAGAAAAGATAGTGTCTTTTCATGAAACGAAAGGAACACGCTTTTGGTGGTCCCCCCAAAAAACATTTATTTGATTAAGCAAATGCAAGCGAATGATAAGGCAATTCATGATTCATAACTGTTTGGCAAACTGAGCAATCAGTTTATTGGTTCAGTACTGGTCAACGAAGAACCAGCCTTCGGCGGCGAGTTAAAGATGATCTTGAGTTCGATTTAAACTAAGCAAAGAGACAAAAAACGAAATAACACAGACGCAAAAGTAAAGGTTGGAAGAATGCAACGGCAATATTATCTAAACTGCAAACACCTTGATTCACAAAGTAAAACAGGGAACTATTCAAAAATGAGTCGCTTATTATTTGCCAGCGAAATGACACTAAGCTGAGAGAGGGATTAGAAAAGAAGATAAGCCAGCGATTTTAACGAATAAAAAGCAATAAAGAGCCATTTAGTTAATCCATAGAAACCAATCCTATAAATAAACAAAAAAGATCCGTTATAATTATGAAAAAAAAACTGATTAACTTCAAAATAAACTCACCGAAGCTAGCAGAAGCTGTATAATGAACAAGCAGCGCTAAGAATATCCTGCCCCTTAAACCAAATTTTGAATTTTATTTTGAGACACCCTCATTTAACTGCGCATGTATTTTCGGTATATTTCGTCTCTCCTTCAATAATCTGGATCCGGGTTACGAGCGTTTTAAAATAACATGTCCTAAGTCGTAGTTAATACCGTTTATCCGAATCGGGCCTGCTCTTACAATCATGGCCATTCTTAAAGTGAACTAGTTTATACGTGTAGTTTGCTTATTATAGGACAGCAAACGAAGTTGGCGCAAAATAAAAAATAATAATAAAATAAAGAAATAATAATAAAGAAATAAGAAATGTGGAATAAAAGAAAGCAAACCCTCATCATACCGGATTTTATCCTTTTGGAGCCCCTTCCTTTTAGTAAATGCTCAAAACACAAAAGATCAGCATAAAAAAGAAACGGAAATTTTCATTTACAACTTGTCGAAAAATAAACACTTGCCCTGGCTTGATGAAAAGTAGTGCTTAACGGGTTTAGTTTAGTTTTGGGCTAACGTGAAAACGTTAGCACTTCGGGAATTGTGGCATGCGTGTTCTCTCCGTTCACAAACTAGATCAAGGTTTCAAGTCGCCTTAAATTTTCTTGTTTAAAGAAATGCTGTAGTTTCTCCCTTCTATTTACGGAAGAACGGGAAACGTGTTCTGTCTCAAATAAATAACTATTTTTGGCATGAGTTTACACATTGGAGGGCTTGGAAGACTCAACAAGATCCCCGGCGATTTCTCGTTAGAAAGAAAGTAATTGTAACCAATTTTGAGAGCTAAGTGTTGAAAACTAACAAAGATATGACTTCGAAAAGTCGCGAAATTTTACAGACGTTTTTGTTGATGAAAAAGCTTCATATATAAATACATATATTGTTCAGCAGGGCTCAATATATAATCGGCTCAGTAGGCTTATTTTTGTAAGCTATTTTTGGTGCGGACCATTTTTATGAGCAGCTTTCAGGAAAAAAAAACAACAAAAACAAGACCACCATAACAGGGATTCCATAAATATACCATTTTTCAAAGTGTGTTGACAATTATACTTTTTCCGCCTTGAGTCAGGCAATAATAATCTGCCAGCATGATATAAAGTTTGCGAATTACATCTCGCGCTTACGTTCAAATTTGGCGGTTGCGCCGAAATGGTAGACTTCTTGGTTCCAACGCGAGCAAGAAATCCACAATTCTATCCACTTCGCCTAAGGATCTTAAGGTTGAAGTTATTTCTAAACTTAGGGTAATACGGAACTTGGCGGCCATTCGGCGTTCTGCAAACGATCTATCGCAATCGATCTTGTATCAATCTCGGTATGAACAGGGCCTTAGTTTTCCAGGGTCCTTATATTTCAACAGGGGAATGAATAAATAAATGGAGAGAAGACAATACTGATGGAGTTGCGAAAAGAAAACCTGAAAAAATTCAGGCTTGCCGGAATTCTAACCCTAACCTCTGCTATAACGGTGCAGTGCTCCATCCAATAGGCCGCTTTCGATATATTAAAATTCAGCATGATATCGAGTTTGATAGGACACGAACAAAGAAAAGCCTCGCTATCATACTGAATTTCATATATCGAAAGTGGCCTATATCGAGCAGGCAAGCCAACTGGGAGATGGTCATCTTCCAGGTTCTTCTCGCTTAGTATGTTTTTTTCCCCCGTTTCTTTTGCTGGGTATTTGGCAGGCTTTATTTCCATTGAAAACTAAGTTCTCCCGACTTAACCCCGACAATCGGGAAATTATTTTGCAGGAAATTCAGCTGTGTAGTGGAACAAGGTTTTCATAGGAATCTTCTGCCTGTTTGTCTGAATCATGTTCATTCGAGTATGGTTTGATAGATCTCGCTGCCCTTCCCGGAGAAGTTAGGCGTTAGGATAGATTTGTGTGTAATTGTTTAAACTGATGAAGTCACAAGTGGTACAAGGGACTCTCACTAACACGGGCGGTTACGTCGGTAAAGGTCTTTTGACTAGGTGAGGGTAAGGCGGAATGAGTTTGCCGAATGGCATGTGGCTTGACTCGCGGATTCTGTATAATTATACTTAAGAAAATTCTAAATTCAACTAATATATAGATTTAGCCAGGGCCAAAAGCGAAGCTCACGTTAATAAATTCATTTTGAAGAAAAGCCGGTCTGTGTCCCGGGAGGGTCCTCAACGAAGTTCTGTACGTGGAGGCTCCGCCCCAAGGTCCAACCCCTTGCCCTTCTATGTACCATTTATGACAGAAAAGCTCTCCCTTTTGTATACCTTGTATTGACAAATGGTACCTAGTTTAGAACACTACATCCCTTTTGCACCGTCCTTTCCATGAAATGAGCTTGTAGCCCTTTTTGGTCCTTTTAGAGACCGAAATGACAGCTTTCGCTACCCTTTCAATACTGCAAGTAATAAAATCCTTCCCCTAAAATATAGGAATGCTGTGATTGTTTTGCCTTGACCGGGTTGTCTTGGCTGGGAGAGACAAGGAGGGTGACCCAGCAAGACGGGTCACGCTTCTAGCCGAGCCAACGCCAGTTTAGTGTAAGGCATAAAAGTTGGCTCGCCCAGGGTAGCTTGGGTAGACGAGTGACGTTTCTACCCGGTACATCTCTTGCCAGGACACGATTTCTCCATATGAACGGGGCCTTACTAATGTGGGACCCATAGGAGCATAATTACCTCACAATATTAACATTGACTTTAAAGATGTGGGTGAATTATATCAGTACAGTACGTACAGTAAATGGTAAAGGTTTTACAGGAAAATCGTTATCAGCAAATCTAGAAAACCGAAAATTCGCCTGCTTCCCCAGTAATAATCCACGCTGGTCTAGCTGTGATTAACATTCTAGGCCGCCCGGTCCTTTGCTCTGCTGTCAATGTTGACGATTTACTGATCTGCCCTTTGTTTTCCAACGAGTGTCCATTTGTACGTTTCGTGGATAGTCTGTAAAGTTTCATGCGATTTGCAAACATCGAAATCGTTGCTACATTCAACTTAACTCCGAAGTTTGACGAACTTAAGGGAAGCTTATTGATGTATTTTCGAGCTATGTTTGTTGGGCTCTTTGAGGCATATATCATGGGCTTTACAATGCAGTGACACCACATTATCCACTTAAAAGTAACTCTCAGGCTATGTGGGATATTCCCGACTCCCATTCCGTCCAAAAGCATCAGAAAACACGCTGGAAAAACTTGAATTAAGCTTGTACCTATGACAAATTTTGACGTCGAGGTGGACTTAGCGTAAACGTTGATCGCTAACGTTTGGGCGTTGGAAAGTGCTAATGGAGATACACTGTGGCGGGTCAGACGAGTGACCTTATAAATTTGGTAATAGCAATAAGCTATCAGAAATAATGGTAGCATTCCAAAAAGAAGTATCGTTGAAACAATAATGAATAGTGCTAAGCCACTAAGAGGATGTTGATATCTTTGTCCGCACGTGTAGAAACCCGGAAAGTACTCAACCTTGACGTCATTGGATAAGAGTAGCCATGGAAACGCTCCAAAAAACCCCAAGCCCCAAGCCAACATTGCTAGTCTTATGGCATCGGCTAATTTCATAGCGCGGGTTCCTGGTTTCACAATTACTAAATATCTATCGAACGCGATGATAACTAACTGCATGACAGTTGTTTGCGTGAAAAACAAGTTGAAAAACGAGTTAGCGATGCAGAAATTTTCGCCCAAGACCCATCCGTCGTAAACTACAGAAATCAATGCAACTGGCATTACAAGAACGCTTGTCCCGAAGTCCACCAGGCTTTGACTCACAATGAGCATGTTGGTGGCTGTTTGCATACGAATATCCGCGTAGACAGCGTGTAACACAATGGTATTGCAAATTATTGATGTCGTCATCACCAAAAAGAGCGGTATTATTTTGAATACTTTAGCGGCTGTTGACGAAACGTCTTCATTGTTCGGGTTGAGGAGCGCCACCTCACTTGACAGATTGTCTTCTAAATGATTTGAGATGTTCATCATCCGAACAGATGAAAGAAAGTTAAGAGTTGCTTGATCCTCCGCCAGAGTACATCCTCACATACTCTTCGCATACTCTTGGGATCCGTTGCCTGCAGAGCAAAAGGAAAAATACAATCGCTTATTTGATAGGCTGCGTTGCTAGAGATCATATTGAGAATTAGACTTTAATTCAAAATGGCAGGATAAAATTGCTTTTCACAACTAGACTAAAACAAGCCGCGGCAGAATAAGCTCACGCTCGTTCCCGCTCGATTCCTGTTCGTTCCCGCTCCCGTTCGATTCCCGTGGCCGGACTTAAAAATAACTGAGAAATGAAGGTACTTTGTCCTTTGTTCTGTAAACGGCTGGACCTTTGCGTGGCTTGGATCTCAGTAGGGGACGTAAAAATAGTGTCCCTCTCCCCTGACGTGCTACTTTTGTGCCAAATACATTGACACTTAAATAAAACTGAGCATTTTTTTTCTTCGGCTCGCAGAAATATCCGACAGACTATATTATTTAGTGATCAACATCATTAACTTACATGTATACCTGGGTGGAAAGAAAAAAAACCGATTTTGCTTAAAGAAAATAGCTTATTTACGTACTTATACTTCTGAGGTCACATGTCGTAACTTTAGCTATATATATCCAGTTTCACTGATCAGTTTTGGCCAAAAAATGTCTGCACGAGGGCTAAACGGATGTCACTGGAGAATCGATTTTAAAAATAAAGACAACCTTTCTGATGTTCTTAATCCGAGAACGCGAGAATTTTACAAAAGTTGGCGATGTCTGTACGCCATGCAAGATACCTTGGAGAAAAACATACGCTACTGCAAATTAACAGAATATGTTTTTTTTTTATATTTTTAATAGTTGCGTAATGGTGGCTCGCAAGCTATGTATTTGAAAATGTGACAACCTTAAATAGCCATGTCAGTACCATGCTTTTGCTGGAAAATTTCTCTGTTTTGAGGGCTGTCATAGTCAAGAGCTACTGGTTTTTCAGTCCGATTTTTAAACATTAATTAAACTGATTTGCAGGCAAACCGAAATATTTAAATAAAGTTAAGATTCAACGACGACTTCATGAAATTGGTGAACTTTGAAGACAAAGAGAGTGAAAATGACAAACTTTAAGTACCTTGCTCTCTTTTGGCCGGAAAATTTCTCTTATTTGACCGTGATCAAGAGCTACTTTCGTTTCAATGCCATTTCAGTAAAATTTTAAACTTTTAGGCACAATAAAATACCCAAACAAATTTGAAATTAATTGACGACGAAAACAGCCGTTTGTTCAGTAGGTTCACGTTTAATGGTACATTGACAGGAGTCAATCACCTTGAACTATAAGGCATTTTTGTATCGAAGTGCTTATAAAATAATCTTTGCATGTTTTCTTAATTCAGTATTCTTCTTTAAACTGCTTTCACATTTGTGAAAATAGGCAATGTTGAAGCGTGAATAAGAGCTTTTACTACTGTTAAAATTATAAAATGTTATTCACAGAAATGAATCAAAACCTACAATATCTTCAAAACATTACTGATGGTTTACGTTACATAAAGGTACCAAGTCTCACCCGTTGCTTGCCTAAGTGTTCATTAAACAGCGTACGATCCAGCGTTGTGATAGCAGATGCTTTGCCTGATATTAAATTCCGTATTAAGTTTCCATGTCACTGACGTCAGAGACCTTAACTAAATGTACCGTTAAAGGAACACTGGGTCAGATGTTTTGAACTGGTATTGAGCTCACCAGAAACGAGAAAGCTCAGTATGCGAGACGTTTTGGGTCTTTATAGCAGTGGATTTGCCTACTTTCCATCCAAAGTGTTTCCGTTCGGCGTTTTTTTTCTTTGTGGGTGGTTCATTAAAGTGAAAAAAAATTGGTTGAAGGAACAATACAATCCATTAGTAGAAAAACGATCCACCTGCGGTAATAGTTATGTGGAAAATGAAAGCAAATTTATCACTTGAGTGAACGTTTGCTCTCAAAAAATATTTTGCGTTTGTTAACTGATCCACCGTAAGACTTGACGGTCAAAATACTAAGTACTTACGATAGAATTAACTTTCGCTTCGCTTTGATTTTATTTGAGCTTGCAGGTTTTTTTTATTGTTTTGCCGTTGGAAATTAATAAATCAGAATATATTGAGAATCTAGTTAACCAAGAACTTACAAAGGTTTTGAAAAAAATGCCTTGAAAAATTGATTTTTGAAGAAGACAAAACACCTTATTCCGTTAGAGACAAATTTGTTTGCAAAACGTTTCCTGTTGTTCCTTGAATATATTGTTTTTACATGACATCAACGTCCTGCATGTTTTTTCATGTTCCAAACCAGTCCAGTGGAAGTTGAACGTACTTCCTATGTGAATTGTAAAACTATCTTTTGTTCCAATAAATTTGCATGCTGCTGGCCACGTGAGTGAACACGCTGTATTAGTACCAATACAGTTTCTAATCTGCCTAAGTTTTGCAGTTCCTAAATATTCTCTCGGACCACCATCCCGATCTAACTATGCCATGAGATAAAAGTAGTGCATGTACTTAAAACTCATAACTTGTCATGAGCAAATTTATATTAATTTTATATATGGTCGATCACATGTTAAAAGATTTTTTTGTATTATAATCAGAATCAGGGATAATAATTAGTTACGCACATAAGACTCTCGGCCCCTGGTCATCGAAAGTGGGCGATTTTTTGCAATAACTGAGTGATTTCTCGCAAGCTGATTGGTCAAGAGCTTAGTAGTCGATAAGAGTACAGACGATAAAAATGACTGATTGGCGCAAATGATGTAATAGAAAGGTTCTCGCAAGCGATTTTCCGATAAATTTCAACGAAAGTAAAGGTCAAAAACTGTCAATGTTATCGCAAAATACAAATCGACAAAAATTTTCGATGATCTTTACTCTTATCGACCTCAGAAATAGCGTCAAAATGTTCAAACCTTTGCACTTGGGTTTTTGAAAGATCATTTTGACGATATTTCTATGGTCGATAAGAGTATATACAGATTGCGCAAAATTCGGCTTTTATTGATTTCAATTTTCTTTCTTTATTGTTGTCATAGTGATAACTTAAAGGTACATTTTGACAAACTTCAATGTAAGGTCAGTCACTGGTGAAATTTCATATGGCGATAGGACGAGGATAAATCACTTTTAAGGCGATTGAAAAATATCGGAATGGCTTCAGAAAAACTGTATCGAAACGCCTTAAAATAACCCACGATCGCCCTAAGGAAGAGATCTGGAGGAACAAAGATTTCCTAAACAACGGTCTAAGTTAGACTTCGTTAAAATAACCGACCCTAAGATTTGAGCGTCGTCTTAATACCAGCCCAGGGGGGTACTCCGGGTTTCAAATGACGGGGATGATCGAATGGGTGCAAAAATAAAAACCCAAAAGAATCCCATGCCGAATTTCCGCGCCTTAAAAATTTCCACAAAGCAAAACAAGTTTGGTTGTACTTTTTTACTTTAGTCGCAGAATTGTCGCGGCCTGGATACGCGGCACTACCACTAATGTCTAGATTGATTTCAATACCCCAGAAAATCCTTACTTAAATCAAGCGCAGCCAATCCCGGAATCGAAAATGTCAAACCCCTAAAAATCCTTCGATGATCCCCGTCTCCCCGTCAATTAAAATCCGGAGTACCTCCCCCCCCCCGGCCTGGAAATACCAGATGCTTCATGCCTAATTGTTTAATATTAGAGAGATTGAGCTTTATGCATACGGCAAGCGGCAAACGTCAGATTCAATTCAGGAATGAGCAGATAAAAACAGCTCAAAACAATTCTTATGAATAAAACGTTGCGTGAAACTACTCATTTATGTGTAGAAATAATGAACAGTAAACGACGAGTAAGGAGGAAACTTGGTCACGTTTTACAAATTCGCGTTTGCCGTTTGACGTAAACGTGATGCTCAACCTCTCTATTTGTCCATAATAGAATAGCATTATTATGGTGGATCAAATTAATGGATAGGGCGTTAATGAGCCTTCAAGAGACGACAAAGCCGCAATACAGGACATTGACCCCTTTGAATGGGCTGCGTTTTATCCAAAGTGTTTCAGATTTTTCGTAGGCGGTCCATTATGAAAGTGAATTAGTTTTGTTCGAAAAAACGGGGAAAAACAGTACCATCAGTTATCAACAAAATGAAAGGGAACACCTGCAGTTTTAACTGAATTTTTTTAGTGGAAATCAAAGAGGAAAAAGACAAACTTACAAATTTATTATATATCCACTAAATTTTCACCAAACAGTGATATTTGCCGCTCTGCCATTAGTCAAGACAGTTGTTTGATTTGCGCGCGGTCGTCAACTGACGTTCCTGTTCTGTTGCTACATCAGCCTAATGACGCACGATATACTAATGATGCTCGATTTGAGCAGGCAACGATCTGATTGGTGGTAATTGACAAAAGCAAACCCATACGTCCAGCCGTCTGTTCTGGGGAGGAACGCAGGCTCATTTCCCGAACAGCGGCTGGTGATCGAGCCTTTGTAAATCACCACTCATAAACCTATCGCCCCGTGTAACGTAAAAGTTTGCTCGTGGGATCCGGAATCCTGGGCTTTGGAATCAAGAATACAGCTCAAGGAATCCGCCACTAAAGACTGGAATCCAGAATCCAAGTTCCACAGAAGCGGACTAGAATCCAGTACCTGGAATCCGATTAATCCGCGGCGAGGAATCCAGAACCCAAGACTGTCTTGGATTCCCTTGTATGGGGTACATACAAATTTATATGCATTCCTCAACGGTTTGAGTTTCTGAGAAACAGACACTCAAAAGACAGACGACGCTGCGAGACGACTGGAAAGAACTTATCCAGACTGAAAGCTTTTATTTTGACCCTTTACTTTTACGATGAGCAAAGTACATCAAGGCAGAGTGTGACAGACTAAGTTAAGTCCAAGAA